TGCTAAAAATATGTCCACTCTGCTTAATAGAGGCTTCTGTTTGGATACATGATGCTTTTTGTTTTTTTATTTTTATTTCAGGATATTATGGGGGTACAAATATTTTGGTTACATATGTTGCCTTTGCCTCACCCAAGCCAGGGCTGAAAGTGTGCCCTTCTCCCATACAGGGCTCATTGTATCCATTAGTTGTGAGTTTACCCTCTAACCCCCATACCTGACCAGCACCCAGTGAATATTATTACCACGTGAGCACCTTAGTGTTGATCAGTTTTGATAAAAGCCATTCTCACTGGAGTTGTGATATCTCATTGTGGTTTTGATTTGCATTTCCCTAATGGTTAGAGATGTTGACCATTTTCTCATGTTTGTTGGTCATTAGTCTGTCTTCTTTTGAAAAGTTTCTGTTCATGTACTTTGCCCACTTTTTAATGGGGTTGTTTGATTTTTTTTCTTGCCAATTCTCCTGAGTTCTACATAGATTCTAGTTATCGGTCCTTTATTGGATATGTAGCATGTGAATATTTTCTCCCATTCTGTAGGTTGTCTGTTTGCTCTTGTGATAGTTTCCTTAGCTGTGCAGAAGCTTTTTAATTTGATTGGGTCCCCTTTATTTATTTTTGTTGTTGCTCTGATTGCCTTGGGGGTCTTCTTTATAAATTCTTTCCCTAGGCTGATGTCTATAAGAGTTTTTCCAACATTTTCTTCTAGAATTCTTATAGTTTCATGCCTTAGGTTTAAGTCTGTTGTCCACCATGAGTTGATTTTTGTGAGAGGTGAGAGGTGCAGATCCTGTTTCAGTCTTCTACATGTGGCTATGGCTATCCAATTTTCCCAGCACCATTTATTGTATAAGGATTCTTTTCCCCAGTGTATGTTTTTGTCTGCTTTGTCGAAGATTAGGTAGCTGTATGAGGATGGTTTTATATCTGGGTTCTCAGTTCTGTTCCATTGGTCTGTCTCTGTTCTTGTGCTGGTACCATGCAGTTTTAGTTACTATAGCCTTGTAGTATAGCTTGAAGTCTGGTAAATTGATACCTCCCAATTTGGTATTTTTGGTTCATTTCTTTTTTCTTTCTCATCTTCTTTTGAGCTAATAAAATATTCTACTTTATATTCTATATTAGATTTATAGCTTTTAATAGGTTTTCTGGGGCAGAGCGAGTCCCATCAGGATTATAATATGCATCCTTAAATTATTACAGTCCACTTGGAATTAATATTGTACCACCTTATGTAAAATATGAGAACCTTATAACAGTAGAATTCTATTTACCCCTTTCTGTTCTTTGTGCTATTATTGTCAAATAGCTTACCTCTACATACATAAACCCCTAATACAATTGTTTTTGCTTTAAACAGTTATTTGTCTTTTAGGATATTAAGAAAAGAAAAAAGAGAAAGTCTCATATTTTACCCACATATTTACCATTTTTTAGTGTTCTTTTTTCCTTCCTAAAGGTCTGAGATTTCATTTGGTATAATTATTCTTTTAAATATATTATTTTTTTATTGTGGCACAACCCATATAACATAAAATCTACCATTTTAACCATTTGTAAATATAATTCAGTACACAGCACTCAAGTGCTGTGCAGCCATCACTACCTCTGTCTCCATAATTCTTTTCATCTTGTAAAACTGAAACTCTGTACTCTCCCCTGCCCCATCTCTTGGAAAGCACTGTTCTTTTTTCTGTCTCTATGATTTCAACTATGCTTAACTTTACCTTATATAAGTGGAATCATATAGCATTTGCCTTTTTTGTGACTGGTTTATTTCACTTAGCATAATATCCTCAAGGCTCATCCATGTTGGGGCATATGCAGAATTTCCATCCTTTTTAAGGCTGAATAATATTCCATTGTATGCATATACCATATTTGCTTGTCCATTTATCTGTCTATGAATGATTGGGTTTTTTCCACGTTTTAGCTATTGCAAATAATGCTGCTGTGAATATAAGTGTACAAATATCTTTTAGAGATCCTGCTTTTATTCTTTTGGATATATACCCAGAAGTAGAATTGCTGGATCATATAGTAATTCTATTTCTAATTTTTTGAGGAATGGTCATACTGTTTTCCACAGTAACTGTACCATTTTGCCTTACCACAAGCAATGCATGAGGGCTCCTATTTCTTCACATTTTTTTTTTATGGTAGACATCCTAATGGGTGTGAAATGGTATCTTATTGTAGTTTTGTTTTGCATTTCTCTTATAAGTTATGTTGAGCATCTTTTCATGTGCTTCTTGGCCATTTGTGTATCTTTTTGAAATACCTTTTCATGTTCTTTGCTCATTTTTGAACTGGGTTGTTTGTTTTTTTGTTGTTGAGGTATAATTACTCTTAAACCAACAGAACTTCCTTTAGTGTGTCTTATAGTGTAGGTACTTGGGCAACACTTTTAAAATCAGCTTTATTTATCTGAATATATTTTCATTTTTTCTTCAGTTTCTAAGGTTGTTTTGCTGACTGTAGAATCCAGTTTGATGCCTTTTTTCCTTCCCTTCAGAACCTTAAAAATGAGGTTTGATTAACCTCCATTTTATCTGAATAGAATTCAGACATCCATTTTATCTTTGCTGCTTTGTATTTGATGATGTGTGTTTTTTCTTATTATTTCTTTTAAGATACTCTACTGATCTTTATTATTCAACAGTTTGACTATGATATGTGTAGGTGTCGTGTGCACATATGTGTGTGTTTGTGTGTGTGTGTGTTTAGGTTGCATTTACTCTGCTTAGAATTTCTGGAAATTTTTGAATCTGCAGGTTAATAAAATATGTCACCAAATTTGGAAAATTTTCAGCTCCCCAATTTTTCTTCCTCATTCTCTCATTCCTCTCATTCTGAGATTCCAATTTCATGTATATTGGACTACTTGGTACTGTCCCAAAGGCTGCTTGACTTCTTTTCATTTTTTTTCAATCTTTTTTCCCCTTCTCTATGCTTTAGTTTTGATAATTTTGATTTATCTTAACATCACTTTGATCTATCTTAATTCACTGACCTCTACCATAATTTGCAGTATCTAATCTGCTATTAAGCCCATCTATTGAATTCTTTATTTCAGACATTATACACTTTAGTTCTAGAATTTTTATTTGTTTCTCTCTAATTTAAATAATTTAAATTTACTTTATTATTTTAAATAAAATAAAAGTTTAAAATTTCACTTTTCTGGCGAGATCCCTTATGTTTTCCACCATTCTTCTTTCACATCTTCCTAATCTTTTCCTTTAAATGCATCAAAATATTTATAACAACTGTTTGAAGATCCTTGTTTACTAATTCTAACATCTATGTACCTCTGGCACTTTTTTCATTGGCTGCTTTTTCTCTTGGTTATGGATGACATTTTCCTGCTTCTTCATATGTCTGATAATTTTTTATTATATGCTCTTCATCTCGGTTGATAGGTTTTAGGAAATCTTGATTATCTTACAGAGCTTTGAGTGTCCAGTTTTGTTCTGACCAGAAGTCACTAGCAGCATCTCTTTATTATCTCAGGCTTGGTTTCAGACTCTGAAAGGGTGGGTATAATTTGGTGTGTTCCTCAATCCAGGTTGTGATGCTTACTCTTTTAGTGTGCCCTTTCTGGAATATCAGTTGAATGTGTGAGGTGCTCAGGCCAGAAATTCAATGTCTTATTAGCAAATTTTAACCTTTAGGATTTCTTTTCAGCTTCTAATCACCCCAGAAGCCAATCTCCACTATGCCCCATGGAATTTCATGCCACATACATGCAACTCAGCCCTCCACAAGTCCTTAAGAAGAAGCTTTACACAGACTTCCATACCTATCCACACACATTTTCTTCCTCCCTGAACAGCTGTCCTAACTCCATTTGGAGGTGCCACTGGTGCCTCAAACTTGGCATGTCTAGAGCAGAACACAGGATTTCCATCTCAAATTCTCTCCTTCTGCTCTGCTCCCATGCTCCGTTGGTGACAAAACCCCACTGTCTAGTCTCTCTTCCATACCTTCTTCTCCTCCACATCCCTTTGATGACCAGCTCAAGTCAATTTTGTCTTTGACTATGTTTCCCCACTTCATCCCTATGGCAACAATCTTAATTGTTCTCAACTTTATGGTCCCACAACACTTTACTAATGCTGCTAGTAGAATACTTACTGTGTTTTTTTAATTATAATATAGCAACTGGCATTAAATAAATAATTGTTAACTGTATGAAGGAATGAATGGGTATTGTGTTTGTATCCTCCCCACCTGCCAGATGGTCAGCTCATTTTCAGCAGAGACAATAAAACACAGGACACACAATATTTAATAAATGTTAGTTCAGTAAAGAATGATATTATTATGTTATACATTTTTTCATAAGCAGACCAGGTCATATGGATTAGTTTATATGTTTTGTCATATTTGGTCTTTGGGTCATGTTCAGCATTTCCCAACCTATCTTAAGCCATTTTTTTGGAGAACAAATCAGAGAAAGTCCACTTCTAAGTATGCTCATATACTGGACCATCTTATATGCAAGGCCATTTAGTTTTCTTAAAATTGCAAAATAAACAAAAACAGGAAATATTTGTCTGTACTGCTACCCTTTTAAGTTTTACTGCTGTTCCAAGTTTTTCTTAAAATGCCAACATTCAGAGTTATGACACACATTTAATGAATTCACAGAAATAAGCATAAGGAAGAGTAGACATTTGTGCTATGCCAGAGATATAACATTTATTAAGATGACCATAAAGAACTTCCTCAGTTTCCAGAAAGATACCACCCAAGACTGGAAAGAAAATTTCCGAAGCACCCAAAGAAAGATACACTTTAATATGAAGGAATCAAATAACTTTGGGAAGCCTGTAGGCATCCACCTATTCAAACCGCACTTGGTTACAGGTAGCAGCTACATGGTCATTGAAAGTCTCTAGGTTTATTTATTTTTTTTTATGGGTGGGGTTGCCAGTGATACTGCCACCCCTTTCCAACTTCTAAACCATAGTAAATTAGTTGCAGGTGCTGAGACAGGCGAACGCTAAAGCTTCTGGGTTGATTCTTTCATTATCAGGCTCTGGGCAAAGCAGCCATGGATCAGCAGCATCTTGGGACGCAGGGCTCACTGCAGGGCTGAGTGAAGGTCGTGAGGTTGAGGGTCTCCAGGCCTGGGGTGGGCTGGCAGGAGTTGAGCAGGAAGCAGGAGGGCACACAGGGCTGAGGGATGTGGCAGGGTGGGGGGCAGTTGTCACAGCAGGTTGGCTCCAGTAACCAAACTGTGTGAGGGCAGGTGCTGGGCAGGCAGACTCCGCACCGGCAGCATTTTTCAGAGGAGCAGATGGTGGTGGCGGGTGCGGTGGGGACGCTGCAGCAGCGGGTGACACAGCAAGCCATGGCGTTGGGAGTCTGTGGTTTGTATTGGTTTGACTGAAAAGAAAGAGGTGGCTTCTGAAGTGTGAATGTCTCTCCTTGCTCTGGGCTCTTATATACCCTCTCCAGTGGGTGTTGGAGCAGCCTGAAGGCTTCTTTCCTGGTTCTTGTTTATGTTAGTGTACCCATTATCCTTAATTGGTTTGACATTTAGATGCCTGTAAAGAGTCTCTATTTTCCTAATTAACTTTTATTTGAGTTCATTGCTAAATCTGAACTGATTACTCTTGCTATTTGTCACTGGAGCACAAACTTTATGAGGTCCCACCAAAGGCTTCTGCGATTATAATTCCAACACCAGCCCTGCTGGGGATTACTGCATGACAGCAGATCTGTAATATGTGGGTCTTCTCCCCACTGTGGTTCAGTTTTTTTTTTAATTTCAGCATATTATGGGGGTACAGATGTTTAGGTTACGTATGTTGCCCTTGCCCCCTCCCCCCACCAAGTCTGAGCTTCAAGCGTGTCCATCCCCCGGATGGTGCGCATCGCACTCTTTGTGTATGCATATCCTGTCCCCTCCTTCCCCCTCCCCCTCCCCCCTGTCGGACATCCAATAGATGTTATTCTTATATGTGCACTTATGTGTTGATCAGTTAATACCAATTTGATGGTGAGTACATGTGGTGCTTGTTTTTCCATTCTAGGGATACTTCACTTAGTAGAATGTGTTCCAGCTCTATCCAGGAGTATACAAGAGGTGCTATATCACCATTGTTTCTTAAAGCTGAATAGTACTTCATGGTATACATATACCACATTATTAATCCACTCATGTATTGATGGACACTTGGGTTGTTTCCACATCTTTGCAATTGTGAATTGTGCTGCTATAAACATTCGGGTGCAGGTGTCTTTTTCATAGAGCGACTTTTGTTCTTTTGGGTAGATGCCCAGTAATGGGATTGCTGGATCAAATGTATCTCTTTGGGGTATGCTCTACTTGTATCTCTTTAAGGTATCTCCATATTGCTTTCCACAGAGGTTGCACTTGTGGTTCAGTTTTTATTCTCTTTATCTTTCTCTGTACCAGTTTGTCTGATAAAGTATTTTTGTTTTAAAGAGTTGAACTTAATTTTAGTGACTTGCTTTGAGCTCTGAGGCTTTTGAAGATCAAAATTACATTAATGTGGAGATACAATGTTTGAGAAATATGGGCAAACTTTTAAAAAACACTTACTATTCCGGTTTGTACTATAAGATATTATATATTTACATTAAACGTTTGGAAAATAAAGTGTAAAGAAAACAACTTGTCTATAATCTTATCACCAAGAGAAATTCCCTGTTAATATTATATATGTATTTCCCTTTAGTAATTTTTGTATACATTCATTTACCATTTTATTACATTACTGGAATAATATTGTACAGAGGTTCTGTAATGTGCATTTTTACTTACACATATATATTTTCATTATTTTGTATTTTTAAGTATATTTGATAATGTTACTTTTAATATTTCATACTATTTATCATATCCTTGCACTCCTGAGTTACTTAAAAATTTCATATTATTAAGCATTTCGGTTATTTTCAACTTTTCTCTATGATCATTGTGACAATAGGCAGCACCTATGTATATAAATCTTTGTACACATTTCTGATTATTTCAGAAACAGAAATAATTATTGGGTATAATTATAGGGGCAAATGTCAATGTTCAATATTTTTAAGGCCTTTGACATTTATTGCCATACTGATCTCCAGAGTGGTTCTATTTATTTTTTTCAGTGATCTATTTCCTCCAGCTGTGTTTGATTAAGAATTCCCGTTTTCCTATACCTTTGATGGATATTTTATTTAAAAAGTGTTTTCCAATTTGATGGGTATAAAACAAAAAAATTCAGTATTGTGTTTGTATTTGTTTTATAACTACTAATGTTAAAATATTCTCTCGTCTGTGTATTGGCCAATTATCTTTCTACTGAGAACAGGCTTGCTTTGTTTCCTTCATTGCTAATTGTGTACAAATTGAATTTTTAGCTATGTCTACATAGACTAAGTAAAGGAATAACCTAAGGCCACAATACTAAAAATCAAGTAAAATTGCTACCAAGGGAAAGTAAAGTTGTAAGCCTGAAATGGATTAATCTGTTGACATTTGATTTTATTCTCTCTCTCTCTTTTTTACATTGTATTGCATTATTTCCCCCACAAATCAAATGTAGCTATGGTAGGAAAGACCTGGATTCTAGTTCCTGTACACCATTTAGACTTCAGGCATAATTCAGCATTCAAGAAGGAGCACAGGGTGGGCTCCTAGCTAATATCCTTACACCTCCAACCATTTCCACTCGGCATGGCCTCCTTCAGCCTGCAAGCCATGGTTCTTCTCACAGTCTTCCTAATTCCTCCTTTAAGTTACCTGTATATCAGTGCGTGATGGTGGGCACATCTGTATGTGTTTTGGGAAGGGAGATTTGGAATCAAGAGGACACCCTGAGGAGTCACAAGAGCTCTTTACTGCTCCCAGGGGTGCTGGTTACCTCCCTTGCTATGGCAAGTAAGTCCATTTTGGGGGTCTCATCCTCTCATCCTTCTTCTCTGTAAAATAAAGGTAATAATATCTACATTCTTCCATTCAGAAGATTATTGTGAAGTTCATGATAAAAAGAGTTAAAATCCATGGATAACCATAAAGTTCTATGCAAATATAAATTACTATCATTATCGAAGTAAGTTGCAGATCAAATTCAAGACAAGGTAAAGATCAGAGAAACGTAGTGAAAAAAAGAAAAAAAAAGAGCTGAAGGGTAAGTAAGAGAGCAGCCTTTTAGAAAAGAGCAAACATTGATCTTAGACATTCACATCAATAAATAAGTGTTAAGGTTTTACCTGTAATTAGAGAAAGTGGCTGGTGCATAAATTAATAAATTTAAAAATTTGAAAAAGTTCTCGATGGCTCTGCTTGAAAAAAGAGGATTCATAACATCTGCTGGTGTCCCTGGACGTTCCCTAGATTTATCTTTGCATGCATACCTGCCAAACGGTGCACCCTGTAACTTTGAATTCATTAATATCTCACTTGTTATATTATTTTTTTGTTCTTTTTTTTATTTTTTCCCCATTTATCTTAACTCTGTATCACTCATTATTTTAAAAAACAATTCAATAGACATTTATTGAGCAGTTACCATATGCCAGGCACTGTACTAAATGTTGGACATACAACAGTGAACAAAGTAGGCATCACCCTGCCCTCATGGAATTTATAATCTAGTGGAAGGGTTTATCACACACACAATATATTATACATTGCTGCTATGATATAATAGGAAGGACAAAGATTAGATTCTAAGATAAATAAATAAATAAATAGAAATTGTGTTTGACATTTTAAGGAAACATTACAAATAAAAAAATGGCCTGCAGACCCTATCCTCACAATTAGAATTTCATGTCAGAAAGATATCAGTCTCTTATCTAGAAAGCAGTATTACTTTGAGTTCACCTTAAAAGTTTAAAGAAATTGTTGCTGTTTATGTAGGATGTCATGTTTCTCTAATTATAAATAAGACTCGAGGTTACAGATTAGAAACAGGTATAAAGTAAGAAGTTTATGATAGTAAACTCTTCTCTTTTATTGACAAGGCTTACAGTACTTTATTAAAATTTATTTTCTGTGCAGTGATGTAAGAGAACTGGCGATTACTCTCCTTTGTTTACAATTGAATATAGTCCTAGAGAGGTGAGATAATTTGCCTTAGACAGCCTGGGGACTGATGCGTTAACAACTAAATATAGGACCTATTGGGACTGAGCTACCTTTTATGTGGTTAAAAATGGAAGTTCAAACTATGCGTCAGAGATACTAAACGTTTTATTTTTAAACACATAGGATATTTTTTTCCTTTAAGCCAATGCAGGAAAAACATGGTGATTCTTTTTTTGTTGTTTTTTTTCTTTTTTTTTAATTTCAGCATATTATGGGGGTACAGATGTTTAGGTTACATATGTTGCTCTTGCTCCCCCTCCCCCCCAAGTCCGAGTTTCAAGTGTGTCCATCCCTCGGATGGTGCACTCTTTGTGTATGCATATACCCGTCCTCTCCTCCTCCTTCCCCCCTCCCCCCGTCCGACATCCAATAGATGTTATTCTTATATGTGCACTTATGTGTTGATCAGTTAATACCAATTTGATGGTGAGTACATGTGGTGCTTGTTTTTCCATTCTTGGGATACTTCACTTAGTAGAATGCGTTCCAGCTCTTGATGAGATGGTAGATTTTCCAAGTGCTAAAAATCTAGACTCATGTCACACACATGCATCTAAGGACTTGCCTGGCTTTAATTGCACCTTTCTGTGGTCAATGGGGGTATCTGGGCCAGTGAAGATGTAAATCAAGTATTGATAATGAAAAGAAACAGAAGAAAAATATGATTGTGTTCGTCTCTTGCTTCAAATCTTTCATTGCTTTGAGTTTTTAATCCAAGCCCCTTTGCTTTGGGGACCTCCCACTTCAGGGTCTTTGTATTTCTCTCTTCTTTCCCTCACTCTCTTCTCCCCATCTTCAATGCATCCTCCACTCCACTCATTCCCAGCTACTTCCTGTGGTTGACGTAGGCCAAGCGCTCAATGACTATTTCTCATCCCTGACACTGAATCACCGAATCTGGGTTTTAGTTACTCTTCCTGCATGCTTGCATGGCATGCTGCCCACCCCACAGGCATAGCAGGAACCATGCAGCGCTGTAGTTATTTCATATGACATATATAATACACATATATGGTGATTATAATAACTCGTCTGTCTCCTTTGCCAGATTTGAGAGTGACTGAAGGGCACTTGAGGTCATAACATGTCTTTTATCTTCATATCTCTAGCACAAATATGGTGCCTGACACAGGGGAAACACTCAGAAAATACTGGTGAAATGATGAGTAAATGGACTAAATTTCTTGTCGACAGTGTCCTAGATTGTGTCCCATCTACCCCATCGTTGCTAAGTTCTGTTCCTGCAAAGCTGAACTGCTAATAAGCCTGTGGGATCCTCTGAGAAATTTCTTTCTGGAGAGACTGACAGGTGCATCAAGGACATTTAAAAACATGTTTGTTTAAAAGCATTTGCTTCTCCCCTTCCTTGCCCTACCTTTTTTTTTCTTCACATGCACTCTTTTGATGTTATTTCAGTGCTTTTCCAGATTTATACTTGTGACTTTATATATGTATTGTATGTGTGTATATTTATGTGTTATGTATGTATTGCCTATATAACATATATTACGTATGTGTACATATTCTCTCTAGGCTTGGAAAGATAATCTGCATGAGATAAAATGAAGTAGGTTGATAAGATTAAGTAAAATTAAGTAATGAATTAAATGATGTTTAATCAGAGTTTTAGCTCCCGTCACCTGAAAAGTATTAGCATTCTGTTGATTGCTGGGATAGAGCTTCTGTGCTGAGTATGGTTCCCAGTAGAGATATGTTCCTAGTGCCTTTTTACTTGGGTTGACCACTTTGATTTCTCTCTAAGGGAAAATTAAGTCAAGTTAGGTAGTCCCATTAAATGACTCAGATTTTAGAATTAAGTATTAATATCTTCCAATTTTAAACTATGAGCCAATATACTCTTTTTTTCTATTTTAATTGGATGTGAATTTTGTTAGAGAATCTTGCACTTTTTATTTCTCTTGCATATTTGAAGTTAATGTCATAACTGTGTTCATTTAGCTCTGGCTCTATTAGCATCAGAGGCCCTGTGATGTGGTGGAAAGAGCTGGGCTTTAGAGTGAGACATATAAGAGACTCAATTTTGGTTTTCTTAGTAACTAACTTTATGATTTTGAGAATGTCGAATAACTCCTAAAGCTTCATTTTTTCCCCATCTGTTAGTGCTGTTTTAAGGATTAAACGAATGATTCACCTAGCATAGAGTAGGTAAATAAATGTTGGCTGGTCCCAGATTGTATTTGTCTGAGGAAGAGGAGAGAAGAGAACGTGAACATAAAAGATAATCAATGAAACGTTAGCAAGCCATGTTGTTAGCAAGAATGTTAGTCATTCCTCCAATAGATTATCTTTTAAAAAATTAAAATAATCATCTTATCTTTATCTTTTTAAAATGGATGAAATATACCGAAAGTGCTAACATAAACAGAGAACACATCTTGCCAGAGAAATACAGTTTATTGTAAAACCCATCAAGAAATTCTTTTGCCTCTATGGAAATACCCAATATAAGAAATGAGATCTGGGAAGTAACATGACCAAGAAAATATAGCCTGAAGTCTTAAAGATTTCAATAGTTTTTTGATAATAGAAGACATTCGCCTGGCCAAGTGAACCAGATGGTTATTCAGCCAAATAACCATATAAAATTTTCATTTTTTTTTTTCCTATTAGAGTCAAGGGTAAAATTCTCATATCTGGGCCATCTGGTCTACCTTAACATCTGATAAACTACTGAGGCAAAATACTGGATAGACAGCTTCTGGGTTCTTCATTGTCAGGCACTGGGCAAAGCAGCCATGGATCAGCAGCATCTTGGGACACAGGGCTCACTGCAGGGCTGAGTGAAGGTCGTGAGGTTGAGGGTCTCCAGGCCTGGGGTGGGCTGGCAGGAGTTGAGCAGGAAGCAGGAGGGCACACAGGGCTGAGGGATGTGGCAGGGTGGGGGGCAGTTGTCACAGCAGGTTGGCTCCAGTAACCAAACTGTGTGAGGGCAGGTGCTGGGCAGGCAGACTCCGCACCGGCAGCATTTTTCAGAGGAGCAGATGGTGGTGGCGGGTGCGGTGGGGACGCTGCAGCAGCGGGTGACACAGCAAGCCATGACGTTGGGTGTCTGGTTTGCTTTTGGTTTCTTAGAAAGATGAGGTTTCCGAGGTACAAAGGTCTTCTCTCTCTTTGGGGCTCTTATATACCCTCCCCAGTGGGTGTTGGTCCAACCAGAAGGCTTCCTGTCCTTATTTTTGTTTATGGGATTCCTTTTTCACTAAGATTCTCTAATCAGCTTGGCATTTACTTGTCCATTAAGAGTTCCTGCTCTTATTAAATTAATCATGTTTTTGACTCATTGACTTGTCATTTTTGTCATAAGAACATCACATTTTGTCTTCACAGGGTTTCGGCATGCCATACCTTACACGAATTATGGGTAATAAGCCCAAATGACAATTCAGCTATAATTTCAGAGGCTAAAATTGTCTTGTTTTTCCCCCTTAATTTTAAATAATATGGGTAAAAGGACATTATTTCTAATTATTAATTTCAGAACAAGCAACTCAAATAATTAACTGGACTATTTTTAACTCAATATAGTCAACAAGGATATGGTTATTTACAGATGAATGTTTCATATGACTGTATGCCTCTCAGACGTATATGCATTATTTATTGATGATATAATTCAGGTTATATTGAGCAACCAAGGTGATAGAATGGTATAGGATGAAACCCTTTTCATTGTATTTAGTAAGTCTATAGGGAATTTACAGAGTTTGTATTGCTCTATGGGTTTTTTTTTCTATGAAGTGTATTCTCAAAGTTATGCCAATCTTGTAGTGAGTCAAAGTACAAATTCACTGAATCAAAAGATCTGCCCAGTTGCTGTCCTTTGTTGAATGTATCATTAAAAGAAAACCACTTCAGCCTTCATTCATTTTCACAAATAAATAAAATTCTAAAATAAGATGAAGTGGGAATTGAAGGAGAAATGATAAGATTCACAGAATAACTGGATTTTGGAAGGGGATCTTGTCCAGTGCTATTTAGAACAATGGCCATTTGTAGAAATCAGTTTTTTACTGACTTCCTCCTTTGCATGTTCATTTGTTTTCATATCTTGGATGTTCAGCTGGATTGTAAATTCCTCTGAGGAATGCCTTACACAACAGCCTTCGCCTCAACTGGCCTTGATTTGTAAATTGGCAGATGAAGATGTTGAACTAGATAATCTCCAATGTGTAATCTTCTGTGATTCCAACATCTCCCCACACCTCCTCATGGTTGGCACAAGTCCATTCAGATGGAATTTGTTGATTGTTGAATATACACAAAGTACAGATTCCTTGGTAGGTTGTTTCTGAGGGGACATTACCAAAAACCAATATGATCTTTTCAAAAGAGAAGAAAGCTGAGTAAAACAAATCAGTGAAAAATACTAAATGTCATTGGTAAATAAGCCTCATACATTATATGTAGGAAGAACCTTCCATTTAATAACCTTAAAAGAGGATAGTTAGTTTAATTTTTGCTTAAGTATTGATATTTACTTGTCATTATTATTATTATTTTTAGAAACAACCTTTAAGTCATTTTCATGAGCAGGAATTTACAACAAATGCCAAGGGAGTAAACATATACCTACGCCTGAATGTTGAAGAACTGAAAGAAGTAAATTCAAGTGGCCTTCCTGCTATATTGTAAAATTCAAAGTTAATGAACTAGTATCAAAATCATCAAGGAAATGTTTAGTGTTTACTTACTCGTGACTTACCAATCTCTCTCATTGTCTGTGAGCCAGAGGTTTGGGAGGTAGATGATATGAAGAAGACCCTCTATCCCATTCTCTGTATTCTCTTTGACTTCTCTTTAAAATTTATCATGAAATGTTATAGTTCAAGAGATCTACTGTACAACATGGTGACTATCATTAATAACAACATATGTGGTCTTGAAAAATGCTAAGAGAGTGGATTAAGTGTTCTCATCACAAAAAGGATAACTTTGTGAGGCAATGTATAGGTTAATCATAAAGCACATCAAATAAAAATGAAGGTTAGAGTCTGCTAGGTTCTTTATCCCGCTGTGATCTCACTCATATTGTTTCTTTGGCTTAAAATGTCCTTCACCAGTTCCCTACTTCTCAAATACTACTGATCCCTCCAACGTCAGCCAAATATCTCCTTCATGAAGAAAGTTTAGGTGATTGTTCTAGATGTTTTCATTCTTTGCTCTCATAAAATGTGCTGCCCATCCTTTCATTTCAACTTCATTTCTTTCTGCTCAATATTATATTGTAGTTGGGCACTTACATTTGTTTTCCTCACTCCTTGAAATCCTTGCAAGTGGGAATTGCATCTTAATCTCTTTTGCCTTTTTCAAGCACCTGAGACAATGCCTGAAACATAGTAGACATTTGACAAATGCTTATTGAATTGGATTCAATTACAGATTAGAATAAAAAGGTATTTATTTATTTTTATAATGGCCCTATAATAGTAACCCTTTACATAAGCAGAGTGATTCCTTTTATTTGTGAGGTGCTTTGCGGTTGTCAAAACAGTTTTACATTTAAAGCTTTAACTTAATGAGACAATGAAAACATATGGCTTGGCTCAATCTTTGGGGTTCTTTCTGTGAGTATGTTTATCTCTAACTGCCAGCATCTCTACCTCTTTAAGGACACATCTGAGTTTAGTCGGAGGCAGGAAAAAAAATAAAAATTAAAAGTAGGTGCTGACCTTGAAGTTTAAAACAATTTTAAGCCTGGAGCCTATTGTATTTTAGTGTACACACAGTTTTCTTTAGGTATCTACATATCCCTGTGAGGCCTTCTTTTGGCTATGAGATTTATGTTGATGTCATCAGAAAGTGTAATTCTGCTGGATATATTTATAGGTTCATGATGTATGTGTCAAGAGTCGTTGGGTAATTATAGCATTAAACATTGAGACAGTACGTGGTTTGGAGAGTAGTGGTGTTTGTTTAGCTTTAAAGTAAGGAGATCCATGAAAGCATTTTCCCACTTCTAATTTGAAATCATTGTTCAAAATAGGGAAAGACTTCTGCAAAACTGAAGGCACAGGGTGGGTTAAAAGATTTTCTTTCAGAGCACCTAATTAAAGGCCATTTGCTAAGCAGCCCTTAATGACTATTGAAAGTCCCTAGAGCAATGTGGGCAAGCTCTTTCAAACATCTTTGGCTAGCAGCAAGGTGGTTCACATGCACAAGGCTGGACATAGGTGGTGACAGAGGTCCTGCTCAGTCTGGGAGTCAGGTGGCAAGAGTTGAGCAGCCAGCTGGGGGGCAGGAAGGTGTCGCAGAAGGTGGACTAAAAGAAGCTGAGCTCATGCGGGCAGGTGCTGGGCAGGCAGACTCCACATTGACAGCATATGTAAGAGGAACAGATGGTGGTGGCCTGGCCAGTGTGGACACTACAGCATCCTTGGAAACAGGAATCATAGCAAGACATGGCAACAGAGGATCAGGTAGATGTTTTGTTGCAAAGGAAGGTTTTCTTTTACAAAATTGTCTTCTGTGGGTCTTTTATATCCACCTATCTCAGGGAACATGGCTTCCATCTGTCACAGTGTTGGACAGAACATCCTTGTTGTACCCATAATTCTACACAAATAACTCACTAACCTCTTGTGTATCAGCCATGGGATGTGCTTTCCTTTAGTTTTATTTGGTTGTGTTGCTTCGTTCAAACCTGCTCCCTGCTGCAGTTTCAAGATGGTGTTGGTGTAGTTCTCCACTTATTCACATGTAAACGCATCCATATCTACCCTGGATTTCCCCTTTTCTACCAACCAGAATTTCTTCTTACAAGTGATCACTGCTGAGTGTGAAGAATCAAGAGTGATTTCCCTAAGAACTAAGAAATGATCCTTCTCAAATTGTGTGCCCTTGAAATATTTGGGAAGTCAAAACCGGTGGGACTTCTTTTTTTCCTACCAGATTCACCTTGGTATCTTTGCATAGGTTCGATGGAATAAACAAATATGGAAGTTATACAACATAATCTTGTTTGAGAAGTGCAGAGCCTGTGAGGTGATTTTCTATATGATTAACTACATTATTTAGATGTGCATTTATATGGAAACATAAATAAGCTCTTAATCTTACAAATGGCTGGTTGTTTTAACGACAAGTTGTGACAAATTAAAACACAGGTTCATGAGACAATATATGGGCTGAAAAATGAGCTTGCATCTTTTTGCAAAACAGCATGAAAAGTTTTTTCTTTTCAGAAAACCCAAACTGCTGACTTGCCTATTCTATTTTTCAAAACCATTCACAAAGCTGATAATTGCCTCTTGTCAAACAGATACTTTTTCAAAATTCCTCCCACTTTAATTCAGTTGTATTGTTAACATGTCATGGCTAAAGCTAGTATGTGACTATAGTGAAGAATACTCGTCAGCAAATCTATTCACTGTAAGTCACATATTTATTGAATCTCCAATATATGCTAAAGAGCGTGGTGGAGGCACAGAAAAATAGAAGACATAGTCCCTGTCCTCTAGGAGTACGTCATCTGACAGAAGAGGCTATAAATCCCTTTGCATTTGATTCAAATGACATATAACTGAGTACTTTGTAAGGTAATATAAGGAGTTTCGGAGCTCAGTTTGAATCATGATTATAACTTACAAGTTGTAAGACATAGATCAAGTTATTTAACCTCTTTGAGCTTTAGTTTTCTCAACTACAAATTTGGGAAAAGTAATAACTATGAATTATAGTCCCGTTGCAAGAGTTAAATAAATATTAAATGAGAATTACTTATGTAAATCAGTCAGCCTAGTGCGTGGCATAATAGAGTTATTCAATAAATGGCAGTTTCTCCTGTGGGTACTGTGAGAAATCCCATAAAATAAAATGCTATGAAAGAGGGCTGAATGATCGAAGAAGCCTTCATGGAAGGTTTGGATTAAGTCATTTTTGATCAGGAATGCTTAGAAGACAGGAATGTGTATTTCAGGCAAGAAAAACAAAGGCTTCTAGAAGAAGCCTTTGTAAGATTCTATGACACTGTCCTGCTCCCACTCTCAGTCCTGTCCCTAGTAGAGTTGGCCACTTGCCTCTTTGTGCCTCTGACCCCTA